GGCAAACTTGCCCGTGGTGTTTAGTTTGAGCACATGAGTCTTCCTACACGTGCCTTCTCTACAGTTAAAAGAAAGGTAAAGAAAAACAAAAATGCTCAAAAATAGAGCAGAATGCTTTTATTGGACAGTAAGTTATCTATTATACCTGGGCAGGTGATAGAGGACCACCTCTGCTCCAGGACTGTTGGTGGTTCTGGAGTGATGCTTCAGATACATCACATAGAGCTGATCATAACTACAGTCCAGAGAGAGAGTGTGACTGCTGGGCTTCACAGTTGCTTTTTCACACATTATTGCAATATATTTCATAAACTATGAACTGACGTATAATTTGCAGAATAACATTTGTTCAGAGTTAGATGTCTAGTGTTGGCTCAGGTGTTCATACACACGTCTTACATTGTAGCCACAGCGATGTCACGCTCAGAGAGGCTGAGTTTGGCTGGTTTGGGCACCGCTGGCAGTTCAATCTCAAACTTGGACATCTTTGACATGGTCGCGGTCTAGAGAAAATAATGTTAAGATTAGAGCAGTATGTTTTAAGATTTAACAACCTAATATCAGAGTTACTGTTGCCCTCTTGTGGTTTAAGTCTGCAGATGCAAAACTCCTGCATGCTTTCAATCAACATTAAAGAATAAGACATCAAACTCACCTTGAAAGCAAATGGCTGGAGCACATTACCCTGTACAGTGGTGGAAAGGAGAAGAACGGCAGTCTCTGGGCAATACATGTACCAGTTCACATTGATGCTCTGGCTCTTTAAGAGCTTCAGGGTTCGTTTATCAGGCAGCACCTGCAAAACAAGGATTCTGCTTACCTTTGGTAGAAAGAATGACTTGTTTTGTTGAAAAAAAAAAAATCAGTTTACTGAACTGATGTAAGGGTGTCACCTCACCTGATAGAATTCTATTCCCTGGTCAGTGACGAATACAATCTCGTTCCAGTTGGTCCAACAAAACCCGAGAATACTGGCATTCTTTGTCTGCAAAAAAAAGTAAGATTTTTCAATGTAATTCATTCCTGTGATGCAAAGCTGAATTTTCAGCATAATTACTCCAATCTTCAGTCTCACATGATCCTTCAGAAATCATTCTAATATGATGCTAAAGAAACATTTATTATTATCATTATGTTGAAAACAGTTGCTTAATAGTTTTGTGGAAAGCATGATTCATTTTTTTCAGGATTCTTTGATAAATAGGAAGCTCAAAAGAACATCAATCATTTGAAATATAGATGTATAGAAATCTTTTGTAACATTATACATTTTTTTACTGTCACTTTTGACCAATTTAATGCATCCTTGCTGAATAAAATCTTACTGCCCCCAAACTTTTGAATAATAGTTTATGGATTTTTTGATAAATAGAAAACAATGCATCCTTGCTGAATAAAATTTTCTAGTGAATAAAATCGTACTGCCCCCAAACTTTTGAATAATAGTTTATACATACATACATAAACTAATTATAGTCAATCTCTGTTTGTTTAGGGATGTACCTTGCACTCGTGGGAAAATTCCAAGTGTGGATAGTCAGGAATGAAATTTGTAAAATCCTAAAAAAAAGAGAAAGAAAGAAATTCACGTAAAGGGAACCTGTGTGCAACAACTGCATTTATTGCGACAGCAACCATCAATGATACTTACAACTGATTTTGTAGTGCGCTGCACAGCTAAGATTTTGTTCCCCAATGAGAATTTGATACACTTCACCTCTCCTTTGTCATCCATTCTGTCAAACGAAACACAGTTTAAGGATGCTTGCCAGTGCTGTAACTGTTAACTAAAACGAAAAAAATTAAGTAAAAAGCATTTTCAGTCATTTAAATAAAGCTGACATGAAATACAAATATTAGATGAAAACCTTAAACTTAAAAAGCCTAAACATTTGAAATAAAAGATGTTTATTTCAAGAATTTTATTTAAATAAAAGTTCAATTTAAATGACCAAAACTAAAATCGAAATAAAAATAAATTGAACCTAAAATATACATTTTAAAAAATAATAAAAATTACAAAAGTAACTGAAATTACTTTAAAACATTTATATTAAACTAAAGGATCAATCAAAATATTAACAAATACTATACAGTATATAAATAATACACAGGAAAAAAAAAACACTGATCTTGACATGACGCATATAGGACATAGATGCATAAAGAAAGTCTAGGGGTCTTACCTGAAAGCCACTGAGCTTTTATCATCTGGCCCTTTAACCACAACACCTGTGGCCCCACCAGATCGTACAGCAAACACCTGAAATCACACAAAACACCAACTATTATACTCAGAAAGCAGAAGTTATAATTGAGCAATCATTCAATACCATAGTGTATAGAAAAGGATCATTTGATACCACTGTATAGCCACAGCACTTATTGATATATGAACAGATCACTAACAACAATAAACCTGTTAACTAAAATACACGACAGAGAGTTACTGCAATTGGTATATTTTTAAAAATTCATACGTTTTTTTTATGATATCTTTTTTTTTTCACATACCAAACCTGCATAAAAAAATAAAAAAATAAATAAAATAACAGGAAAATAAATAAATTACTTGATAAAAACAAATATAGTTCATTTGTAATCACATTTAACCCTGAATTAATTTTTATTACTATTTTCCTTTATGTATTTTTCCTTTCTGTATTATATTAGGCTATTAATGTATTTATTTTTAGAACGCGATCGTGTTCAGTTCAGTCTGTTTTCACCGGATCAGTTCATTATCGGAGCAGAAGGGGCGTGAACCACCTGAGCTCTGCTGGAGAACAGGGGCAAGTTCAAGCTCAAACCAGTGTGCACCGTTTTGCCACAAGTCCCTCCTTCCGACAAGCGCAGTCTGCTCTGATTGGCCAGCTGACCCAGTGCATTGTGACTGGCCGAACACCGCAAGCACTTGTCGGAAATGTAACGCCCCTTACCATAATCGTGAGCTTCATCTTTCAAAATAAATGTAAAGACAGAGCCCGAAAGGGGAACAGAGTCGCGTGACAGACACAGTGATGAAGCTGGTATGTGTTTGCAGTACACAAGCCACCTGACTCCACTTTGATGTGATGCTGTCTCTCTATCTCTCTCTCTTTCTCTCTCTCTCACACACACACACGATGCGCAAAACTCCGCATTTGAACAGTCAATAATTATCCTTCACCTGAAATGTTTGTCTTTTCATCCTGAAATGCGAGGCAAATGTTGGATCACAATAATTAGGAACCACAGTTTCCACAAATCCCTTCATTTGATTGGGATGTTCTCTTTTATTCTGGACGGCAAGGGCAGTAACTGTACCATTGAGCGTATTTTGCAGTATTAAACACGTATTTATAACGATTTCATCAGGCTCCGAAAATTCTTCAAAAAGAACACAAAGAATGGCCTTCTCAGCTGCCATAGTTGCAACTCTTGCGTCATCAGAACAGTGTGTTCAATGCACCACCGTTTCCGTTAGAAAAACGTTTTGCACCGTTTTTGACGGGGCTGAACGCAGCCCAGCTCAGCAGGTGAGATTGAAATTTGATACTGTAGCCTAATACACAACACTGTCCAGGGCCCTGTGATAGAGGAGTCCCACAGAAGGTCTTCAGTGGTATATAGTCCACCCAGAAAAATTGTCCCGTTAATTTTAGTGACGGCCCAGAGTAGAAGGAACTCTGGAGTACAGCTTTATTATGCTTAAATTTACACTTAATTATATTAATAATAACAATAAAATTATTTTTAAATAAAATAATAAAGAAAATCATATTTCATTTAATATGCATGTTTAAATATATATATATATTAAAAGTATATATATATCCTTATTTAAAAAATATAGTTATATTTTATATAAATATATCTTATAAATATTTATATATTATATATATGTATATATACAGTATATATAAATATATATATACATATGTAAATGTATTTCGCCAAATGGTAATACTTACAATAATTTATTTCTAATATAACAAGAATAATAAGTAATATTATTTTAATTTGAGGTCAGAGATGTTTCTAATAGTTGTGTTACCTATTTGTTTTTCCGCACTTTACAGAAACATAGAAATAGGATGATGAAGAAAGGAATGGGTTCGTTCTTCCAAAGAGTATGGAAGGCTATGAAGCGTCCCTTCCTCTGCAGATGGAACAAAGTGGAGTCTTTTGTACCTCTATCTGAGACGATCAGTCCTGAGCCATCAGCCCTCAACCCTCATCATTCCTCAGCATCTCTTTCAGCTCTACACTGGACAACATGTCCAAAACATCTTCGTCCCTCTCTGAGGACAATATAGATGAGAGAGAAGGTGACTATAGCTGCAGCATGTGGGACAATAGGAGACCCAGCCTGCATCATGTTAGTATTATGAAACAGGATATGTGGGGCCAAGACGGCATTTCCAGCATCCCAGAGAATATGTATACTTTGCCAGGTGAAGTGCCTCACTTTTTCCTCACTTTAAAGAAACATACAAATAACGAGGAGCGAAGAGGGCTCTTCACCAGACTGTGGATGGCTTACTTACTGCTGTGCTGCATACAGCTATCAGATTCAGTCAAGTCTGTCTCTCCAAACTCTGAATTTTACTACACATACTGAGGACAGTGGAAATGAGAGAGGAGGTGATGATATCTGGAGCATGCGAGTCGATAGGACAAGCGGCCTGAATATGAATGCGTATGACAAAACTACAGCAGCAAGCAAAACGCAGAGGAATGTTTGCCAATAAATATTTACAAATGAGACCAATGTTTCATTGTGATCATATGCCATGACAATTATGTGAGGTTAAGGTTATTTACTTACTTGAAATGATCAAACTAAAGGGAATGCGTGCTGTGCTGCAGGGTTGTTAATCATAATTTGGTCTGGATGGCTCAGCTGCTCTAGTGCTGTCAATATAGATCCCGAGGCCACACGAGAACACTATTGATCTCACAGACAGACATTTAATAGACTGATTTACAAAAACCAGACAATCACTGCTGCTCAACCAGCAGTGTGTGAGCTGTTCCTGTTGCTCCAAACTATCCAGAACAAACTCCAGAATGAGTTCTTTATTTCGTAGTGAGGAGATGTGTCTCGTGCAGCTGTTTTTTCAAACCGAATCGGCTCACAATTGCATCAGTGAACTTGGGCATCTTGGATTGGTTCAGTTTAAAGATGTGAGTAACCTTTGTACTGCTTGAGTAATGTTTGTGTGTGTGTGTGTGTGTGTGTGTGTATAAGTGACTCCATTCAGTTTAAGTGGCCTGTGTTGTTGAATCGAATGACATTGTAGCTAAAAAAGTGTTTGAGCATCACTAGGCCATCATTTATTTTGACATTTGTCTGATTGTCAAGTAAACACACAGCCATTGATTTATAAATGTAGGCTAGTCTGCTTTTGGCAGCATGCACACTTTCTAGTGCATATAGTGCAAACTCACTGCATCAGTCTTCGGTTCGTATTGAGTGTTCATTGTCACAGAATTTGACTTCTCACCATTGGTTGAATCAATCAATGCACAACACTGCAGAGCCCGAAAAAAATGACTGTGTACGTGATTACTGTATGTATGTAAATTAATAAGGGAGTCATTTAAGAAGCTAATAGGGCTTCAGTCATCTAAAATAAACCAAAACCATCTAAATTCTGCCTTGATATGTTAGAATTTCTTTGTGCATTAAACTTTTTTTAAATGATCTCACAGCTGAATCCTGGTGTAGCGGCATTTCAGAGGCGATTTGTGAAGGAAGTGAAGAAATGTGAAGAAATGGAGAGAATTCTGAGTAAGAAAGTATTTTATTATAAGATGCACCAAGTTATCATTCTGACCTACATTTCTGATGTAAATGTTCATAATTTTTAAGCCCTAAAGGTGAGTTGCCTATATTGCAAAGATCTATTTCTCATCCATTTTACATATTGAATCATTCATAATACTGGATCATAGACTGCAGAAGGGATCTAACATTAAAACTTTGATTACAGTTGACTCATACTCCCTATATTCATTTAAAGCAACTGAATGGAAGTTTTTTACTTTGAAATATCTTTTTCAATGTCATTCTGATGGTACATTGACTTATAATAAGGTGAATGGCTTCTGTTTTTTTTTCCCAAACGTCTGTTCTGGGAGAATATAAGCTTGGTCAACAAATGCACGTGTACAGCTATCCACTGGTATTATGAAAGCTTTATGTTTACGACAGAAAATGCCACTTATTTAACTTTAGGCGGTTCCAACGTCGCAAAAAATACACAAAACTACATACAGTTGCTTTAAATGTCTTTGATATAATTAACTTACTTCAAAGACAGTCATGCTGGTTTCTCTTGAAATGGTACATCATTTAGGGTATCTTGAGAAGGAGATGGTGAAATCTAATATTGTAATTGCTGCAACAAAGGAGAAGGAGATGGTTCCCTGTGCCAGAGATGTTCTGGAGTTTGAGGTGAAAAGCAATACTTTTCATTTTATTATTGTGTTCTTTTAAAGTTTTTATTATTGTGTTCTTTTAAAGTTCTTCTCAGTTGTGGCCTTGACCAAATAAACTCATTTTTCAGACAAAAAGAAATTCCGAAAGTTACTGTGACATAATGCTTGCCTTCAAACCTTTAGTCCACATTTGAGAAGTTGGAGCAGGAACTGCGAGAAATCAACCGTAACCATGCTGCACTCAGACAGAACCTCATTGAGCTGATGGACATTGACTCTCTGCTGAGGATGACTGAAGACTTCTTTGAAGAGGTGAAGATCTTGAGATGAATTTTAATTTATTTTATTTTTAATTATATAATATTAGTATGCATTAATATTTTGAATTAGCTTTTTTATATGTTTAGTTTTAGTCTAAGCCATTTTGCAATGTGCTTTGTCTTTTTTTTTATATATATTTTCTAAATATTTCAATTTGCTTTTATAGTTATTACAGTTTTAGTTTCAGTAATTTTTGTACTTCAATTTAAAATGATTTATCTTGGGTACTTGCCAAGGCAACATTTCTAATTTTCATTTAAATGTAAGTTTTTTCCCCCTGATATTTATATTTTATTTTTTTGCTTTATTTCAATTTTTAGGTTTATTAGCTAGCTGTATTTCAATTACAAAAAAGTTTTAGTTTTAGCTTAAGTTAATAATAACAAAACTGATCATAATTTAACATTTATTGTAGGGTTTTTTTCCTTCCAAATATTTTAACCAAACGAAGGCCTTGATTTTTACTTAATATTTAAACATTTGCATGTTTAGTGAACATAATTTACTTGTATGGTCTTTTTAATCTTGATTTTCAGGGTGATTCACCTTCAAGTCAACAGAACAATTTTAGTTTGAAGTGAAGTTCACCCAACCAAAAAAAATAAATCTGCCATAATTTACTTTTGTTTTGCGTGAAACAGAAAGTTGTCCATACTACTCATTGCAATGAAAGTGAATGGTTTCCTGTACATCCTGATCTACTTAAGTCTGCGTTATGATTGCTTGTGTACCAGGCCGAGTCGCTGCTAACCTACTCTGAGCCTCCCTCTGAAGACTCAGTGTCTATGACCGTCTCATCACACATAACCAGCCGCAGAAACAGCAACTCCAGCACCTCTGGAGCTCTACATCTTAGGTACTGTACATTTAAAATATCTTCTCCCACTTATACACAAAGGTTCCAGTCAAAACCAAAAAAGATACCGTACCATACTACTTATGACATACTGTGTCTGGACACATTTGAAGCTTCATTGCAGGTGTGATCAAACAAGACAGGTTTCCTGCTTTTGAAAAGGTTCTTTGGCGCCTTTTTCATGGAAATTTCGTCCTTCGGCATGCTGAGATGCAGGCCACTGAGGAACTCCAAGCGTTGGTGAGAATATCTTATATTCCCATATTCCTATTTTTAAGTTTGTTTTATTTTTGATGTTCTTTCACACTCACACTTCTGCAACTTATATGCACAGCTATATTCCCATTCTACATACTCCAACATAATAATTACGTACAGCATGGTCTCTTCATATGTGTTCTTGAATATTTAAAGCAATCGATAGCTTGGTATCAGATTGTCAGTACACATCACATATGCTGCTATATTACTTGTTTGAAATGGACATGAATCCATTTCTGGATTCATTCTGGATTTTCTGGTTTAGGACAGATGGTGAAAGCTAATGTACAGTTGGGTGTGTGTTAATATTATCAGAAAAATGGTCAGTAAATATATGTTTCTTTTAAACAGAGGGGAGCTGTGAAGAAGGACGTGTTCATTATATTTGTCCAGGGAGATCATGTGCGAGAAAAAATCAGAAAAGTGTGTGAAGGGTGAGAGACAGTGGAGTCATTCTCAAAAAATGTTGAGTTTAGAAAATTCTGTTCAATACAAAACTGATGGTATTTATTTTAATATGTTATTTGATTTTATTTCACAAATGAAAAAGGGTTGTAGCATCACTAACGAAATGATAATATCAATAAAAAAATAATCTGTATACTTTCTATATATTTTATATATTTATTCTATATATTTAAAAAAAAAATCAATGTAAAGACAAAGAATAAATAACTAAAATTAAAAAATCATATATATATAAAAAAAATTAAATGAAACATAAAAAAACTTCTTGCATCTTTTTTACTCTGAACTTACTTTTCAACAACATTTTCTATTTTGAAAATACATTTTTAATGTTGATAACACCAATGACAGACAGACTTAAATAAATGAATGAATGAATGAGTGAGAAAACCGTTCTTTTTAATAGTTTAATATGATTTCATAAAGTGTAGGTTTTTAGATTAATGTCTTTTATGTGGAGTTTCTTGGCTATTTGACTATATATTTTTCATGATATGTCACCATAAGTATCAGTTTAACTTGGCCCAAACAATCTATTTAGATCTAAGTATGAAAACTGTCATTTTATTTGATGGCCTTATTCACATTTGAATTCTAAATGAAATTTCTTCATCAACATTATTTCTACAATCCTTAAAGATTTCGTGCCAGCTTGTACTCATGCCCCAAAACTCTGTATGAACGCAAGCAAATGAGCAACAGCGTAATGACACAAATGCAAGATCTTCGAATGGTGAGTCACATTATTGATTATTTCCAATTGCAAGTGTCTTTTCAAGTGTGTCTATTTGAGAGAATCAGTATTCATAAATAAATGTAGGAAATAGCTGTTTTTATGTCCACATTCGTTGTAAAGATCCTGAGAAGAACTGAAGAATATCGTGCCGGTGTCTTGACGCGAGCAGCGGAGCACGTCCAGGAGTGGAGCAGTAAAGTGAAGAAGATGAAGGCCATCTACTACACCCTCAATCTCTGCAACATAGACATCACGCAGAAGCTGATCGTGGCAGAGATCTGGTGTCCTGTGTCAGATCTCACTTTAGTACAAAGTGCCCTGATTAAGGGATCTGTAAGTATGTTTATATACACTCTTAAAAATAAAGGTGCTTCACAATGCCATAGAAGAACCTTTTGTCTAAATGGTTCCATAAAGAACCTTTAACATCTGAAGAACCTTTCTGTATCATCAAAAGGTTCTTTGTGGTGAAAGAAGGTTCTTCAGATTATAAAAAGGTAAGAAAGAGATGGTTCTTTAAAGAACCTTTGACTGAATGGTTCTTTGTGGAACCAAAAATGGTTCTTCTATGGCATCGCTGTGAAGAACCTTTTGAAGCACCTTTATTTTTAAAAGTGTACTTCCTTGAATAAATATTCTGCAAACCATCACTAATATTTCAAAATGGAATATTTGCAAGTGGTTTTATGACCACATATTCCGACGCTGGGTTTCTCTTTCTCTTTTAGGAGCAGAGTGGATCCAGCGTGACTCCAGTACTGAACCGAATCCAAACCCAGCAAACTCCACCAACCTTCAACAGAACCAACACATTTACTGAGGGATTCCAGGCTATTATTGACGCCTATGGGGTCGGTACTTATCAGGAGATCAATCCAGGTGGTTGACTGTATAATTTAATATATTATTTCATTGCAAAATTTAATATGAATTAATAACATATTTAATAATATATTAATATATTTAATGCATTATTTAATTGCAACATTTAATATGAATATATATATATACTGTATATATATACCCTGCCGTTCAAAAGTTTGGGATCAGTAAGACTTGAAGACTCTTATGCTCATGAAGGCTGCATTTATTTGATCAAAAATACAGAAAAAAACAGTAATCTTGCAAAATGTTATTTCAATATAAAATAATGGTTTCTATTTTAATATCCTTTCAAATATAATTTATTTCTGTGATGCAAAGCTGAATTTCCATCAGCCATTACTCCAGTATAAAGTGTCACATGATCCTTAAGAAATCATTCTAATATGCTGATTTATTATTAGAATTATCAATGTTGGCAACAGTTGTGCTGCCAAATATTTTTTTGGAAACTGCGATACTTTTATTTTAAATAAATGCTCTTCTTTTTAACTTTTTATTTATCAAAGAATCCTGAAAAAAGTATCACAGGTTCCAAAAAAATATTAAGCAGCAGTTTCCAGCACTGATAATAAATCAGCATATTAGAATGATTTCTGAAGGATCATGTGACACTGAAGACTGGAGTAATGATGCTGAAATTCAGCTTTGATCACAGGAATACATTAGATTTTAATGTATACTAAAATAGAAAAACATTATTTTACATCATAATAATATTTCCAATATAAAATTTTCCCCTGTATTTTTGATCAAATAAATGCAGCCTTGATGAGCATAAGAAACTCCTGTAAAAAACATAAAAAATCGTTCTGATCCCAAACTTTTGACCGGTATAGTATATATGTGTATGTATTATAATTTACTTGCTCCGTTTATTTTCTCAGCTCCATACACTATTGTAACCTTCCCTTTCCTGTTTGCGGTGATGTTTGGAGATTGTGGTCATGGACTTGTGATGACGCTGTTTGCAGTCTGGGTCACTTCACAAGCTGAATCTTTACGAAAGTGGAAAAATGAGGTATTGAATGGCATTAAATGTGCTCTGAGCTCTTGTTTGCATAATTAAACATTTTTTTAAAACTCTGATTAGTGTCTTTTAGAGTCTTTTTACTTATTATTTTCACTAGTCATAATTGTCTTTCTCCTCCCAGCTGACAGATGTTGTGATCGGGGGACGCTATATTATCCTGCTCATGGGAATGTTCTCCATATACACTGGCCTGATTTACAACGACTGCTTCTCCAAGTCCTTCAACATCTTCGGCTCTTCCTGGAGTGTTCGGCCCATGTTTCATCCTCACGGGCCTTGGCAGTACGTATGCCGGAGACCTGCAGACTTTAAAGTAGTCGTTTGCTCTTTTCTTTTCTGATATATATATTTTTTCTTTATCTCAGAAATGAAACGCTGCATGAGTATCACCATCTTCAGCTGAACCCATTTGTGCCTGGAGTTTATTCTGGAGACCCGTATGTGTTTGGAATTGACCCGGTCAGTGCCTGTAAAGTCTTGTTTCTACAGAATTTCTTTCCCTGGACAGTTTTAGGTTATGCATACGTTTAAGTTTAACATTTTGTTGTTTTTCTTACATCATGTGCTCTTGGATTGTGTTTACAATGATTTGAGCATTTGAACGGGAGTTTGGTTGTCTTACTGTGTTTTATTCACTAGGTGGCAGGATTTAGCTGTTCTGATGCTGTGCATTAAAGGGATAGTTCACCCAAAAATGAAAATTTGATGTTTATCTGCTTACCCCCAAGGCATCCAAGATGTAGGTGACTTTTGGGGCTTTTCCACTGCATGGTACGGCTCGGTACGGTTCACTTTTGGGGGGTTTTCCACTGTGTACAGTACCTGGTGCTTTTTTTAGTACCACCTCGGTTGGGATTCCAAGCGAACCGTACCGTTACCAAAACGTGACGTGTAAACTCTGCTGATCACATTGTCTGTTGAGGAAGTACAGACGTTCCTTTCGTTGATAGCAGAGGAGCGGATCCAGCGAGAGCTTGATGGGGCGACACTGAATGAAAAAGTTTTTTAGGAGACGCGGCAGTAGAGGCGGCGCAACTATAATGACATGTGAATAATCCCGCCCACTCTAAAGCGGTACTGAACTGCAGTGGAAACACTAACCGTGCCGAACCGAGCCGTGCCGTGCTGTGCCGTGCTGTACTGAGCCGTGCCGAGCCGAGTCGTACCACGCAGTGGAAAAGCGCCATTTGTTTCTTCAGTAGAACACAAATTAAGATTTTTAAGTAAAACCGTTGCAGTCTGTCAGTCATATAATGCAAGTGGATGGGAATCACGGCTTTGAGAGTCAAAAAATATACACAAACAACCAAATTAAACCCTGCGGCTCGTGATGATACATTGATGTGTAAATACACGAAACGATCAGTCTGTGCAAGAAACTGAACAGTATTTATATCGTTTTTTACCTCTGATTTTCACCGCAGTGTCTGAACTGTCCAGAGCGCATCCTGAGCGTGTTCAACAGCTGACGCCTGACGCGTCTTCTTCTTGCTTTACGGCGGATCGCAGACTTATAAGTGCATTACCGACACCTATCTGTCAAGTGGACCATTGACACTCTATCTACAATCTCAATTAGGAGTGTCAATGGTCCACTTGACAGATAGGTGGCGGTAATGCACTTATAAGTCTGCGATCCGCCGTAAAGCAAGAAGAAGAAGATGCGCCAGGCGCCGGCTGTTGAACGCGTTCAGGATGCGGTGAAAATCAGAGGTAAAAAACGATATAAATACTGTTCAGTTTCTTGCACAGACTGATCATTTCGTGTCTTTACACATCAATGTATCGTCACGAGCCGCAGGGTTTAATTTGGTTTTGTTTGTGTATGTTTTTTGACTCTCAAAGCCGTGATTCCCATCCACTTGCATTATATGACTGACAGACTGCAACGGGTTGAGTTAAAAATCTTCGTATGTGTTCTACTGAAGAAACAAATCACCTACATCTTGGATGCCCTGGGGGTAAGCAGATAAACATCACATTTTCATTTTTGGGTGAACTATCCCTTTAAGAATCACTTTTGTTCCTAAAGTTCACAACATATGCAAGGAAATAGAGGAGTACTTTTAACAGCAAGTGAATATAATAATTAATTAATTAAAGCAAAATGACTGCTTTCTATTTGAATATATTTTTTATGTAATTTATTCCTGTGGGGCAAAGCTGAATTCTCAACATCATTACTCCAGTCTTCAGTGTTGCTGTTAGTCCAAACTTCATAAATGTATGGATTTGCACAACAAAGATTTTGAACAATTGCATTGATTTACATTTTTGTTTTAGGTTTGGAATATTGCATCAAACAAGCTGTCCTTTCTAAACTCCTTCAAGATGAAGATGTCCGTCATATTGGGAGTCAGTCATATGCTCTTTGGAGTCGCCCTGAGTTTGGTGAACTTTGTGTGGGTATTTGATCTCTTATAAATGAAGGCAAAATTAATTTATAAATCAATTTAAATAAATTAGATTGTCAAAGGCTAATGCAAAACATGAATCCTCTTTAAGGACGTATAAGTTGTTATACTGAAATTTTATGATGTAATAATGTAGGCTTTTGTCTATTTTGTCTAAAGTAGAAAAATGAGATGCTACTTGTACATAAATCTACACTGTAAAACATTATATAAGTCATGGCAACATATGTTTTTCCTTTAGTTTAACTCATTAAAATAATGTAACCAATTTCAACTGCACTTTTTAATTCATACGAGATTCAGCTCAACAAAATAAAAAGTTGAAATGAGCAATTTGACAAAAAATTTAAAGCAGCAACTTCAGTTTTTTTATTGAATTAGATAGTAGAGGTTATTATGATTACAAGCTATAGTTGATCGTTTTAAAAGTACCATCTCTTCACAAAGTCCAGATAAATTATGATTAATTGAAGTTCTTAACCCTAATCATTGTTCAGAAATCTGTGACAGTTTGCTTTTCTCGTTGCCTCGTTCAGACATTTCCGAAAATTCCAGGACATTTTCCTTCAGTTTGTTCCACAGCTGATCTTCATGCTGTCTCTCTTCGGATACCTGATCTTCCTCATCCTCTATAAATGGTGCATCACTCTACGCTCTGAAATGGCTCCCAGCATTCTGCTGCTCTTCATCAACATGATGCTGTTTGATTACCAGTCTGAACATGTGCTTCTCTACAGAGGACAGGTTTGGATTCATGCTCCTCTAAAAGCTGTTCTTTACTCCTGGCTTTTCATCGCTGAAGTACTCAGTGTTTCAGATCATGACCGATGCTGTAATGCTCTACAGAAAGGGGTTCAGATCTTCTTGGTTTTGACGGCGGTGCTCATGGTTCCTGTGCTGCTCCTGGTCAAACCCTTCCTCATCTACAGGACCCGCATGAAGACCAGACACCAGGTGGGTGAGCAGAGCCGAGCAACACTGTCCCAAGAACAGTACATGCTTGTTTCAACCAGGGTTAGTATAGTTCAATAAAACTAAAACTATACAAAACTTTCATCATTTGAAAAAAAAAAAAAAATACAAAGCTAAAATATTCAGCTAATTGCCAAGGCAGTATTTCTCATTTACATTTAGTTTAACTTGATGTACTAAAATACCTAAAACTAAAATTGAAAAAAACCCCCCTGTATATTAACTAATAAAACTGACAAAAACACACAACAAAATAACCACAACTAACTAAAATATAAAATGAAATGAAAAGGAAAACAATGATCATAATGAAATAATTATAATTATATATAATAATTATAAAAACTAAAATTATAAAAATAAAAACTAATTCAAAATATGAACAAAACTATAATAGTATCTCAATGATACTAAAATGGCACTGGTTTCAACATGGAAATATATTTTTATTATTAATGAAATTATGCACATTTTAAATGCAAATTAAATCCTTACATTTGAAAAAAAACACGTGGCCCTCCTTTATGGTAAGATTAATAATAGTCAATGATACTAAAATGGCACTGGTTTCAACATGGAAATATATTTTTATTATTAATGAAATTATGCACGTTAAATCCTTACATTTGAAAAAACTGTATATTTTTATAAACACGTGGCCCTCCTTTATGGTAAAATTAATAATAGTTATATTATTCAAATAATTAAATTAAAAACAATATAAAAGAAATGTAATTATATATGTTCGTACCATTTATAAATATTTAAATATATTGAGTTTGTGTAAAGTACTAGTAATTAAGTTCAGTAGTCTATAACATTTTCTTTGAACTTTAATATTATACTTCAGATTTTTATGGGTCAAAGACGTTAAGATGTCCGTATCATAAGAAATTTACAAAAGTGATTTTATGTCCATAGAAAGCACATTAAATGCAAGTAAAGTGTCTACTTTTAAGGTTTCAAATAAGTTTTGGGAGAATAAAATGTCAAAATTTGGTTGAAATAATGTTACATTGTCATTCAGTGTAACACAATATTTATGTAAAATGTTTGTGTTATTGTACATATTAAAATATATAAAAGAATAAGGGAGCATATTAAATTTAATTGTGTTTTAAATGAGTAAAAAATTCTTACTGACCAATGGGCAAAATCTAGGATAGTGGCAAATTAAAAAAAATTTTAAATGACAACTAATTAGTATTTGGGGTGAAAGTAATTAGCCTTTTAATATGTCATAAATAGATTTTTGTTGTAAATATGCCTGACAAGATTGTTACACTGAATGACATTTTCAGTGTAACAATCTGAAAATGTCAGTGGGTCTCTTCTGTAAATCAGGGGAAAATGTATGATATTTATTTTTTACTCGGAAAAACTAAAACAAAATTGCAATTAAATTAAACAGAAAACTTTTTAAATTTTTTGGGGAAAAACAACAACAATTTAAAGCAGTATTACACTTATTGTTTTTACACTTAAACCCTTTTTCGTCTTTGACCCACATATCAATTTACATATAAGACTAAGATTTATATTTATTAGTGATTTATTTATTAGTTTATTTTAAATTATACATTTCAATACAGAAATTTTTGCATAAATGTTTTTTTTACATTTTCAAAGTGGCACCATATTTAGAATGTGAATTGTATATAAAACATAATATGTTTCATATTATTAACCAAAGGGGGGAAGTCGTGGCCTAATGGTTGGAGAGTTGGACTTGTAACCCAAAGGTTGTGGGTTCGAGTCTCGTACCGGCAGGGATTGAAAACAAAATTGCAATTAAATTAAACAGAAAACTTTTTAAATTTTTTGGGGAAAAACAACAACAATTTAAAGCAGTATTACACTTATTGTTTTTACACTTAAACCCTTTTTCGTCTTTGACCCACATATAAATTTACATATAAGACTAAGATTTATATTTATTAGTGATTTATTTATTAGTTTATTTTAAATTATACATTTAAATACAGAAATTTTAGCATAAATGTTTTTTGGTTTTTTTACATTTTCAAAGTGGCACCATATTTAGAATGTGAATTGTATATAAAACATAATATGTTTAATATTATTAACCAAAGGGGGGAAGTCGTGGCCTAATGGTTGGAGAGTCGGACTTGTAACCCAAAGGTTGTGGGTTCGAGTCTCGTACCCACAGGGATTGTAGGTGGGGGGAGTGAATGTACAGCACTCTCTCCCACCTTCAAAACCACGATTGAGGCACCGAACCCCCAACTGCTCCCCGGGCGCCGCAGCATAAATGGCTGCCCACTGCTCCGGGTGTGTGTTCACGGTGTGTGTGCACTTAGAATGGGATAAATGCAGAGCACTCATTCCGAGTATGGGTCACCATACTTGGCCACACTTCACTTCTATATTTTGTGTCTAATAATATTTTCATATAAGTGATTGTGACTAATAAGGTCTCTACACAGGTGTTCGGGAACAATCTGAATGATCAGCATGGAACAGATACACGCTCTTCCTTCTCACAACATCAGAAGGATGAGATGGTAAGCTTTTGGTGTATGGTAGGATGTTGTTTAAAACCTACTGAATACTGTTACTTTATGTCTTAAATACAACATAATATGCAAACATACAAAATGCTCAAATATCTTTAACTATCCCGTACAACCAAAGAGGAAAGATCATTTCATCTGTTTTCTTCTTCAGGTAAGTATGGGTGACATCTTTGTGTATCAGGCCATCCACACAATCGAGTTCTGCCTGGGCTGCATCTCCAACACGGCCTCGTATCTTCGGCTCTGGGCGCTCAGTCTGGCTCATGCAGGTTTGTCCTGTCGCAGTACTTGCACAGTAATAAAACAAACTGCACGATCAGTACAGAGAATAACGGCTTCTGATTTATTATTGGTGTTCTTTATGTTTTCATTTGTGTCTGAGTGACTGATTGTATCAACAGTGAAATGATTTATGAGTAAATTAAGGTGTGCAGTTTATGAGGACACATACAATGATCAAGAACACCAGAACGTGTTTTACATTTTTTATTTTTTAACCTTCCCTAGTTTTTAGCATATTAATGGAATACATGGCTAAGTGCTTCTAATGGTTGGAGAGTTGGACCTTGTAACCCAAAGGTTGTGGGTTCGAGTCTCGTACCCACAGGATTGTAGGTGGGGGGGAGGGAATGTACAGCACTCTCTCCCACCTTCAAAACCACGATTGAGGCACCGAACCCCCAACTGCTCCCCGGGCGCCGCAGCATAAATGGCTGCCCACTGCTCCGGGTGTGTGTTCACGGTGTGTGTGCACTTAGAATGGGATAAATGCAGAGCACTCATTCCGAGTATGGGTCACCATACTTGGCCACACTTCACTTCTATATTTTGTGTCTAATAATATTTTCATATAAGTGATTGTGACTAATAAGGTCTCTACACAGGTGTTCGGGAACAATCTGAATGATCAGCATGGAACAGATACACGCTCTTCCTTCTCACAACATCAGAAGGATGAGATGGTAAGCTTTTGGTGTATGGTAGGATGTTGTTTAAAACCTACTGAATACTGTTACTTTATGTCTTAAATACAACATAATATGCAAACATACAAAATGCTCAAATATCTTTAACTATCCCGTACAACCAAAGAGGAAAGATCATTTCATCTGTTTTCTTCTTCAGGTGAGTATGGGTGACATCTTTGTGTATCAGGCCATCCACACAATCGAGTTCTGCCTGGGCTGCATCTCCAACACGGCCTCGTATCTTCGGCTCTGGGCGCTCAGTCTGGCTCATGCAGGTTTGTCCTGTCGCAGTACTTGCACAGTAATAAAACAAACTGCACGATCAGTACAGAGAATAACGGCTTCTGATTTATTATTGGTGTTCTTTATGTTTTCATTTGTGTCTGAGTGACTGATTGTATCAACAGTGAAATGATTTATGAGTAAATTAAGGTGTGCAGTTTATGAGGACACATACAATGATCAAGAACACCAGAACGTGTTTTACATTTTTTATTTTTTAACCTTCCCTAGTTTTTAGCATATTAATGGAATACATGGCTAAGTGCTTTTCAGAATTTAGTTCTGAAAATACACTATTGGTCATAAGTTTGGAATAATAATAATTATTATTTTAATGTTTTTAAAAGTAATCTGCAAGAAATGCTCTGCATTCATTTGATTAAATACAGTAAAAACAGTAATATTGTGAAATATTATTACAATTTAAAATAACTTTTCGCTGTTTTCCATTTTAATATAATTTAAAAAGCAATCTATTCGGTCATTCTGAATGCTGATTTGGTGCTCAATGAATATTTCTTATCATCATCAATGTTGATGTTAAACAGCAGCTTAATATTTTTGTGGAAATTTTAGGACAAGTAATATTTTTTTAATTCAGCATGGATGTATTAAATTGATCAAAAGTGACAATTATAATGTTACAGAATATTTGTTTCAAATAAATGCCTTTTTATTTATTTTCTATTCATCAAAGAATCCTGAAAAAAATGTCACGGTTTCCACAAAAATATCAAAGCAGCAAAAACTGTTTTCAGCATTAATAATGATAATAATAACCATAATTAATAATTGAGCAGCAAATCAGAATGATGAGCTTATTAGTATAATTTATGTGTCAATAAACATGTTAAAGGAATAGTTCACCTCAAATGATCAGTAATATCTAGTGCTGTCAAACGATTAATCGCATCCAAAATAAACATAGTATGCGTGTGTGTACTGTATATTTATTATGTATATATATATAATTACACACACATGAATGTATATATTTAAGAACGATATGTTACATTTCTATATTAAATATATTTATATGTGATATAATTTATATGAAATATATACACGTAAATATTTTCTAAATATATGCTGTGTGTGTCTTTAGATGTACATAATAAATATACGCAGTACACACACATATATTATGTAAACAAAAACTTTTATTTTGGATGCGATTAATCGCGATTAATCGGTTGACAGCACTAGTAATATCATTATTTCATACCAACCCTCATGTTGTTTCTAAATGTGAATGATTTTTCTTTGCACTGTGCAACACAAAAGTACATATTTTGTTGATTTTCAGTGAACAACAGTTTAAATGTCAGTCTGCTCTTCGCACAACCCAATTTTTGTTGTTATTGTTAAAGGTGCTGTATGTAGTATTGACACCGAGTGGTTGAACTAGGTATTGCAGTCCAAAATCTAAATATTGGAGAGGGTTTTTTTCACCCGGCCCCTCCTCCTCAGACTTGACGCACACGCAGGTTGCCAGATTGACGACACCAACAGGAACGAGCGCACTTGACGATGAATGAAACGAAACACGCTGTACCTCCTTTCCGTTCTTTCAATCGCTTTACGTATACGTCGACATTCCATGTCCATTATTGTGAAACCCGCGAGACACAACAAAAACAGCTCCGTTCACAGCGTCCGCCATCCTCCTGTTGCTGTTAATGTTGTTCTTCTTTGTTTCCGTTGTTGAACGCCGCGCACAAATGACGTTGCTGTCGAACGGCTTACGTCACTTCTTAGTACACACTGTCGGTGCGAATGCAACGCTTTAAATAGTACTGGGAAATAGTTCCCGCAAAATCGTCCCAGTACTTTAGTACTGTAAAGCTAAAGGGGTGCGAAAGGCCCTTTACATACAGCACCTTTAAGAATGACTTGAGAGTGAGTAAATGACAGAAAATAAATTTTTGGGTGAACTATCCCTTTAAAAAACACACACTGACAGAGTGAAATGAAATGAGGTTAATTAAAGGCCATATCGTCTGCAGAGCTGTCGGAGGTGCTTTGGAGGATGGTTCTCCAGGTGGGCCTGAAGATCTCCTCTGGTATGGGTTCACTCATGCTGGTAGTGCTGTTTGCTGCTTTCGCTGTTCTCACCGTGACTGTTCTTCTGATTATGGAGGGCCTGTCTGCCTTTCTGCACGCTTTACGACTACACTGGTAAGAACAAACACATAATTCATAAGCAACGAGTATGAGACTTCACTTGAATTCTTTTAACAAAGAAGTTATGGGAGTTATCATGCATGTAAGAACCTTGCACTTGTAAGCTGCATGTTAGTCAAGGTATTTGACTTGTTCCTGACCTTTGACATGGGGCGTGTTTGTCTGTCTATTTTCAATCTACTAAAGTTTACATATATCTGGCCCAAAGGTCTAATGTCTCTGTACTTGAGGTGTGTCCAAATTTAGCATTAATAGTGTGAGTTTATCGTGAGGTTCAGTATATGTACTGTTACTACTAACCACAACAAATGTTTGATCGGTTTACAAAGCATGTTTAAATACGATAAAAAAAATTGCACAAAGTGATATAAATGTAGGTAAAGTGACATTTTCATGTGTTTGTTTTCAGGGTTGAATTTCAGAACAAGTTTTACGAGGGATCCGGCTACAAGTTCACACCCTTGTCCTTTGACAGCCTGTTAAAAACACAGCATTAATAGTTTTTATACGTGCTATTCTTGTAGTTTTTAAATGTAAATATAGTTTTGTGAATGTAACAAATGCATATTTCAAATCAGGGGTCTTCAACAGGGATCTCACAAGAATTGTGTCAAATGAAATTCTGAAAATTTGCAAGATGTAGAGGAGTTTGTTTCTTCATCAGAACAGATTTGGAGAAATGTAGCTTTTACATCACATTACAATGGATCCTCTGCAGTGAATGGGTGCCGTCAGAATGAGCGTCCAAACAGCTGATAAAAACATCACAGTAATCCACACCACTCCAGTCCATTAATTAACATCTTAAGAAGTGAAAAGCCAGCATTGCTTCTGGTTAAAATATGAAAACTTTTGATGTGAGAGGGCAAAAGGAGACTGGCTTTTTCTCTGGAGGAAGCTTCATTATGGATTACGGACTGGTATTTTGGCCAGAAGCGACAGGTTAACATAAAAAAACACCTTAATGATGGATTTGTTTATTACAAACATGCAACTTTCCATTTAACAGACATTAAATGTGCGGATAGAGTCATGTGTATTACTTGTGATGTTTTTATCAGCTGTCTGGACTCTCATTCTGACGGCACCCATTCACTGCAATTGGCATAATGCTAAATTTCTCCAAATCTGTTCTGATGAAGAAACAAACTCTTTACAAAAGTAACTCCATAAAATAATTACATTTAAGTAGGCCTACATGTTGTTATTATTACTGTTTAGTTGTGTAATACTGTAACTTTAACACTAACGTAAATGTTATCAAGACATTTTTCATTATTATATAAAAAATTGTTAATATATATATATAAATTATAGCTTTAAAAAAAGCAATGAAAAGACAAAAGTAACAATTGCAAAATGTAGCTTTTATTAACGCTGTAAACCTAAAGTATAAAATAGTTTTAGACCATCCTAGTTAGCTGCAAAATAAACTGTACAAATGTGGAGCAGACTGAATTAATTTACTGTATAACATGCATCTAATACGATCTGTGTCATATAATCATACACAAGAGGTGGATTCGTGAATTTATGTTAGTAAACTTCCTTAATGAATTGTTGTGTATATTTTCTGTATACTTGCACATTGAGAACTAACATTTTCTTAAAACGGCATTCACTGGATTAAAGGTGAAATACCTATTTTGGGTTGTAGGAACATACACGTTGAAAATTCATGGCATTTTAAATAAACATGAATAAGATGCTACCATGTTCATGATGGTCCATTGATTGGCTCCAGAGTTCTGAATGTAAAAAAACAGGGTTTTGTGTCTCATTTCAACTTAGATTAGACAAATGTTGGCAACAAGAATGCATTTGACGGTTTCTCTTGAGTGCCTTGAGCCAGATCAAGACAGAACAGCACCGTGCATTCAAGGTATGTTTAGAATTTAGAACTTGACCATTTTTCAACAGAGACCTGTTTTCCAGATATGGTTGAGACCTTTATGTTTTTGTATTTTTAAATGTTATTGCATTTACATGCTTAAAGGTACAACACTAATGCATACAGAAACAGTCGAACGAATGTGATGATTCTATTCATTTGTTTGGTGTTTCCCAATTCATAACTTTATCATATCATATGAAAAACTGTGTAAGTTAAGGACAGATGCATGTTAGTGTAAACCTGGATCCAGTTAATGCCAGTAGACTAATAAATCCTCTAGTAAAAAAAAAAATTTCAGATATACTAATAAACTTACATCCAACATGAATATACATGTAGGAGTAAAACTTCTGCTAGATTCAGTAACATGCCAGTAAAATGACACTGACTTTGGCATTTATTTAAATGAAACACGTAAATGCCAACTTCCAGTCCAAAATGACTTTCCACTTCAGTCAGTCATTCAGATGTATTTATCCAAAATATATCCACATAAAATAGATCTCATTCATTAAAGGGGTCATATGACGTTACTAAAAAAAAACAAAATATTATTTTGTGTATTTGGTGTAATGAAATGCGTTTATGCGGTTTAAGGTTAAAAAAACATTATTTTCCACACACTGTACATTATTGTTTCTCCTCTATGCCCCGCCTTTCTGAAATGTGTCGATTTTTACAAAGCTCATCGTTCTGAAAAGCGAGGTGTTCTGTGACTGGCCAGCTATCCAGTGCATTGTGATTGGCCGAATACCTCAAGCGTGTGACGGAAATGTTATGCCCCTTACCATATTGTGATGCTGTGTCCCGGCCGGAGCGACGAGACAAAACAACCCATTATAAACGAGGCATTTGTTGCATCCAGTGGGGACATAATTACTGATTATAATGATTTATACTGTCTTTTTATGCGTTGCGTTGCATCGTGCCGCGTAAACATAAAACCATGTCTGCATTTGTGATCGGAGAAATGACAAACAGCAAGTGCTACTCTACACTGCTCAAAACTCGCATTTGAATCATCAGTGGCAAATTCTTTAAATATGAAAACATACTTACAGGCTGTGAGTCAGAACAGCCGGCATTGTAGTCTACTCTACCAGGATCAGGAAACAGTCCTCCGTAAAACACGTTGCACACATCTGAATATTTGGTTTGAACTGTTCTGGAATGGTGTTAAATACAACTTAACCGCTGATTTCTAGGCGTGTCCTCTTTTGGAAGACCAAACAAAGTATTTTTGCAACAAAACACACAGCGCCGACACGGTGGCGGCAGCAACAATACTTTAGCGAGAATCAAAGCTATGCCTTCTTTCTTTGCATAAATATTTGGGCGGCGTTATGCAAATCTTCCCACACAGTGACGTAGACATGTGGGGGTGTGTTTGAACGAGGTGTTTTAGGTAGGCGTGGTCGAGTCTTAACTTTTATAAAGAATATCTCTTTGGGTTTGAGACTTTAGTCTTTGCAACTTTAGGGATCTTATCTATTCACGAACAGCTTGTAACACTCCCAAAGAGAAAGGAAAATTTGAAATCACATCGTACGACCCCTTTAACACCTATTTTTTAATGTTCATGTTCATGCACAAATCCGCAATACACAATGTAAAAGATTCAAATACTTCTACATCTGTCATGCAAAGTGTTGATTAGCAATATTTGAGCATCATTATTACTAAATTATGACGCCTTCGGTTTTTTTATACTGTATTACAAGTCATCAGTATTTTTAAATGATATTTAATTAATTTTATTTTACAAAAAATGCAAAATGTCCACAGAAAATATAAATTTGAAGTGTGCATATACATGGCACGTTTAAAGTTCCAGACAAAACTCAGATTAAATATGAACTTTTTGTTCATTACGCTGTGTAACCACATTCAAATAAGTATTTCAACTTGATTGTCGAACCCAAGTGAGATTGTAGTGCTACTTATGGAAAAAGGAAGCTCTGAGAAACAGCTGAAGGGTACTATGGCCGTGTTTGAAGAATACACACAGACATCTAGGATCGTGTGGCATTGTTGCCATTCTCGTTATCGCCGTCATCGTCAGACTGTTGCTCTGGAGGTATGGCGCGGGTTTGGCTGGCTCGTACGCTGGTCAGATGAGGGCAGGCGGAGATCAGGTTAGCAATGCCAACAAGAGTTACACCTGTGCCATCCAGGTTTACTTGACTCAGTTGCATACGGCACAGGAACTTCAGACCTGAGGAATAAAATTCAGCATGTTAGAGACGTTTCTTTACTAGAAAGTGATCGTGGAGGGAATAACACTGCACAACATACCCTGATCTGTGATTCTGGTTCTGCTGAGGTTGAGTTTCAGCAGCTGAGGACAGTGAACTAGACCTCGTCTGATCACCGTATCACCCACCTGTGTACTGGCCAAACCCATCACCTACAAAACAAAAAACAAACATGTATGTTGAATCCATGAATATTCATCATATACTGTATATATATGTGTGTGTGAGAGAGAGAGAGTATATATATATATATATTAAAAAAATGATTATATAAAACTCTCTATGCTCACCAAGGCTAGTTTTAATGAAAAAACAAAATAAAAACTGTAATATTGTGAAATATTATTACAAATTAGTATAACTGTTTTCTATGTTAATATATTTCAAAATACAATTTATTTCTGTGATGAATTTTCAGCAGCCATTACTGTGTCAGTGTCACATGATCCTTCAGAAATACTAAAGAAACATCTACATTTTTTTAGGATTCTTTGATAAATAGAAATTTCAAAAGAACAGCATTTATTTGAAATAAAAATATTTTGTAACATTATACATGTCTTAACTGTCACTTGATACACTTTAAAAGTAAAAAATGTATTTCTAAAAAAAAAAAAAAAAAAAAAAAAAAATTATATTTATTTTATGTATTAATTCTACTGTACCTGCAGATGTGGTAAGTGTGTGATCAAGGCTGCAACGCCCCGGCTGGTGACAGCTGTACGGTCAAGACACAGTTCCTGGAGATCTTTTAGACTGATCAGTCCCTGCAGCCCGCTGTCACTCACCTGAGTGTTGCTAAGAGACAGCTTCTTCAGCCTATCAAATAAAAAGGGGCCGGTCATCATTACCATCTTTGGTAAAATGTGAAGATTTCTGAAAACTCTTCTAATGAAGCGAACGAACGAAAGGTCTACTCATACCAACAGCGAAACAAAAAACTGCATGACAATGTAAATTTTAATTGCTTTAAAGCAGTCACATAGCAATAGCATGATATATTGCAATATAATCCCTTTTTTTGATCAGAATGCTGGAAAACCTACAAAAGAAACTTATTGGTCTGTGAGTTTTATCACACAGTCAATCAACAGGACCAAAAATAACAACAACACTATATTTGCTGACAAAAAAGAACAGTGTGAATATGTTTACAAGAGTGGATTGATTTTCAAGTCTTGTTTGTGGCACATATTTGCTCTTGGTGTGAACAGATTGTTACACATAAATCAGGGTTCCCACAATTTCTGACCAAAGAATTACCATGATTTCCATGCCTTGTCCAGCTGTTAATAATGACTGGACAAGAAATTTTTAAAACTCATTTCATAAAGTAAAGAGTAAATTCTAGCTAAAGGAAGAGCGGAATATGCCTTTTCCAGAGACTTTTGAAATTCTCTAATATTTCCAGGTTTTTCATGACCGTGGGAAACAATGCACTACAACAATTTGGGATGTGGCCAGTGATTTCGTAAATAACCGTAAGTAAGCCTATTCCAGCATTACAAGATTTGCATGGTTGCATTACACCAAA